TACCTGTCGCTTAGAACGAGATTGTAGGATCGCTTTACGAAATTTCTTTCTTCACAGGACAGTCGTCCTTTACGTGAGAGGAATCACCACAATTCATGCTTTTAGGTTACATGTACCAATTTTTTGTTCCGTGGCCCCATCCTTGGCACTTACGGCACTGGGTGAGGTTCTGGAAATTTCTTCCAGTCGTTCTGAAGTGTTCCCACTTCACTCGGACATGGAGCATAAGGCTAGCTTTTTTTAAGGCCTTAAGGTTGTTTAGTTCACAAGACTTGAAGTGAACTAAATGAAAATCATTAGAAATTTCGTTGCGCGAATCGCCAGGACGGGATTTTATTTTCATTTTGATTACTTGGACTGGCATAACTCCAAGTAATTTTGCCAGTTCATCTTTAATCTGATCCAAGGAATCCACTGGGCAGTCCTTTCATGACAACCTTGAACACACGTTCAGTTTTGGTTGGCAAACATACTTTTGAACATAAAAACCAATAAATGATCCATAAAATATTGGAAAACGTTCCATTAAAAACATCCAAATGATCCATTAAACTTCGAAGAAAATCCTTAAAAAAGTGATAATGATCCATAAAAAATATCAATATGATCCATATTTAATGTAAAATTTAGCAACACAATTGTAAAAATGTACCGCTAAATTTCTAAGGAATGAGCATTGAAATTGTACGAATTACCCATACACATATTGCTATTGATCCATAATACATTCAGCAGTGAACCTTAAACTAAAGAAAGTGATCCATAAAAAATCATGTTTGCGCACTTAAAAATATAGCCATGTTCGTATTAATGAAAGCAACTTCCTCAGAGCAGTCTCGTTTTGGACAGCTTGAAGCTGAAATAGGTTTTATTAAACTAATATAAAATCAAAACCAATCTTAATGCTTATAATAAAACCTATTTCAGCTTCAAGCTGTCCAAAACGAGACTGCTCTGAGGAAGTTGCTTTCATTAATCCGAACATTTTTGAAGAACAACATCGGATATAACCTCAAAATGTCAGAGGGATCAACACCACCGTTAAGTGAAGAACAGGACAGCGATAGAAACTGTACGCTTTGTGAAGGCCATGACCACGTAGATGATATGGTCCAGTGTGATGTCTGCGATTTCTGGACCCATTATAGTTGTGCTGGTAAGACAACAGCTGTAAAGGAGGTTCCGTAGACGTGCTCTAAGTGCACAAATATGCGGAAAGTGGCAAAAGGAACCAAGAAGTCTGTCCCAAAGAAACCACCTAGCAGAAATAATAGAGCGAGGAGTGATGCCGCAACCGAATCTGGAAAAGGAAGTACCAATGAGGTCAGCCTGGAAGAATCCCTAGACCAGTTGCTGCAGGAGAAAAGCGCAAATAAGAAAGCGCTGGAGGAAGAGAAATTCCTCCATGAAAAGCGATAGGAGGCTGAGCGGGAGATTTTCAAACCGAGAGTTATCTTCCGTCACTCTTTCAACAAAGATTTGGCTAGATTAAGCATTTAGGGATTCAATTATTATTTTAATTTAGCACGCAAACGATGTAGAATGAGCTACTTACTAGTTACTTAGGGTAAATCATGTATATAGCGTTTAGGAACAAATTGTAGGTTACCAGATTTTAGGATCAAATTGTAGTATCTAGATTAAGCAAATATAGGGTTATTAAAATCAATATTTGCACGAATTCCACCTCCAACTAACCTACTTCAGTAGCTACATAGAGGTAACTTTAAGACCAGAAGGTCCCGAAGAAATGTGCTCAACTTTTTGACTAAGCTCTGGTACTATCTTCGGTCCCAAGCTTATCGATGCACCCCTATAAAACACGAGAAAATCCACGAACCCCTCATTTTACCTGTCAAACTTTCATAGCGAATCAAAACAAACATAGTGTAGTACTAGAATTTTGACTAGAATGGGGTACGTTAATCGATTTGCTTGGGACCAATAGGCAAGTCAAGTAGTGAGCCAATTTAAAATCGTTAGTTTCGTATTGATTGTTGGTAGCTAGTTCACTACAAATAACTACAATTTAATTAAACGATAGGTATGTTAATAAATTTAGGCAATTAAAATAATTTAGCTGTAAAACGTTTTTTAGATGGTTTGGAATAGTATCTTCTTTTCCTCTTTTTTTTTCTCGTTCATACTCCGACCTATCTAAGGTTTGGTTCAACGGAACTGTGAGTTCACAGTTCCGTTGAACCAAACCTGACGTCTGTCATTTCTGACAGCGACCGTTACCGTAGCTCTCTGAATCTCCCACAGGGTTGTCACTGGGTTTGGCGGTACAGGGTTATCCCGATATTCCGAACAGCCATGATCCATAAATTAGACGTATATTATTCACGTTTTGAACACTGCATTATTAATTTTGATTCATAAACCATGAAAAATTGCTCCATTACTGCTTAACTACTTAGATTTACTGTCCTGCCGTGTTTTTAGGCAGATGTGCGGAGCGATGGTCAAGCATCTAGAATTAGTTTCCAAAAGAAGCTTCTATAATAATCTTCTAAAGAAAAAATGAAAAATAAATGTGTTCCAATTATAATCTATATCGAGGGGGGCGACACATCCAAATCTCAATTCTAGATGCTCAACAGATCTACCACTAGCGAATCAATCTTCGAAAAATATTCTTTCATTTCTCGCATCTACTTGCATCGCGCCTCATCTTTTTACAGGAAATCTTCAGAATGGTCATCAATCTTCTTTCTATCTACTCAGTCGCTCCCCTCGGTCTATATACATATGTTTTTTAATTTGATCAATAAACCTTGGAAAATTGCTACATTACTGCGTAGCTACTCAGGTTTACTGTTCTGTCCGTGATTTTTTTTTTTTTTTTTGTCAGAAGAGCAGAACGATGGGCGAGCGTCTAGAATATTAAAGCTTCTAAGTTTCTAAATGAAGGTTCCATAGGAAGCTTCTTAAGAATATTATTATAGAATCTTCTTTTGGAAGCTAATTCTAGACGCTTGCCCATCGCTTCGCACATCTACCATAAATACACGGGCAGGACAGTAAATCTAAGTAGATAAGCAGTGGAGCAATTTTTCAAGGTATATGGATCAAAATTTAAAAAAAAAGTGTCCTAAACATGAATAATATACGTCTAATTTATGGATCATGCCTATATTTTTAAGTGTGCAAACTTGATTTTTTATGGATCACTTTCTTTAGTTTAAGGTTCATTGCTGAATGTTTTATGGATCAATTACAATATGTTTATGGGTAATTCGTACAATTCCAATGCTCATTATTTAGAAATTTAGTGGTACATTTTTACAATTGTGTTGCTAAATTTCACATAAAATAATGATAATATTGATATTTTTTATGGATCATCCACACTTTTTTAGGGATTTTCTCCGATGTTTTATGGATCATTTGGATGTTTTTAATGGAACGGTTTTCAATATTTTATGGATCGTTTTATCAATCCTAAAGGTGCAAACTTAGGGCTGCCGTTTTGGTTTCGTAAGTAAAAAATTTGTGCTGCTTCTCAGTAAGATACTTGAGAAGACATTTGAATCCGTCAGCCAATACATGGCATTCACCCCGACGTCCAATTTGTAGTGAAAACTTAACTTTCATGAAGTTCAAAAGTTCCATGCGAAGACTTATCACAATAGGGGGAATCTTTTCCTTCTTGGCATTAAGCCGGGAAAGTTTACTAGATTTTTTCCTGGATGATAGATCATTCTCATCATCCGTGAGCAAATCAAATGGATTGCTCAAATTAATTTCATCAGAAGGGGGATCAAGAGATTGCCCTTTTCTTTTGCGTTTAGGCGCTATGGTGGCAGTAAAACTTCAAATCGACTTATAAGCAGATAACTGTGAGAACCTGAATAATCGAAGAGAAAATCGATATCCAAGCAGGATTACCTCGGGTAGGTTCCAAACAAGGATTGAAGAGGAATAAAAGTCGAACAAGGTAGCAACTTTACAGATATATTGAACACTGAAAAGTGTTGTTTAAATTTCATGTAGCTTTAGGTAGCAGTAACACTTCCTTCAGCCAAAAGCAAATAGATCCGCAAGGCAAGAGAGCCCGATGCGGACTGAGACTTTACACATTGATTTTTAATTAATGTTCCTAACACAAATTTGTTACCAAATCAAGCTGTGATTTGATGTGAGGCGTAAAAAAGTTACTTTAGTGGCTTTTTGGTGAAAAAAAGTGATTTGCTGGTGAATGACTTGAAGATAAAAATTGACCTGCTATCAGCCCTGTCATAAATAAAATCGATCCGCCAAGATCGATCTTTTCCTAAAGATCCCTGCCGTCCGGTTGTTTCAGTGCTTGGTAATGAATTCTGAAATCTGTGAAAAGGAAATCACTATTTTTCGACCACTGAAACGCCCCGTTCTTTTATGCAAAATGATGGATGTGCGTCCACAAAACGCACACATTTTATTTTTCAAAATGCAATATTTATTAGTTTATTGCTAAATTGGTAGCGAAAATTGATTGGAGGGATTTACCGCTAAATATTCTGTATTGAACAACTCGATACCTATCCCATAAGCTGAGAAGCATTTGCAACGAGTAGAGCATACAAACTTATTGATTGATAGCCATTTAGATAAGAAGTAACTGAACGAGTGCCTCTACCTCTACATATGTTTAATATCAAAGATAGATACCTTTGATACCATTAACCAACACCGGAGCGGATCGGAGCACAAGCTTGCCCTAATAAATATGTATGTAAAGGTGACCCATTAGAATCGAATCAACGCTTCTTTACATTGAAACGCGGTTCACGCGACACAATTGGCACTACAATGTGAAACGTGCGGTGCACTGATTTCCAGTAAACACATGATGACATCATAAATTAAAATTACCCGCATTGTATGAGCGTTATCTTCGACTGGAAATCTCCGTTCTACCGTTCCTACGCGCATTCCTTGCCATTTACAGCGGTGCAACTTCCGTTTATGTGACAATTTCCAGTGGAAAAAAAAAACCAGATCCAAAATAAACTTACCTCTCGAAGGCGCATGGAAACGCAAACGCCGGAATATCGGCAATCACCTTGGCATCCTTGAACGACTCCGGGAAGCTGTGCACGATGTATCCCGGATGCTTGCTGTCCCCATTATTTGACGATGGGCTCGCCGAGGCTGGAGAGGACGCCGTCGTCGCCGCAGCCCCAGGAGCAATCTCGCACCAGTACTCAAACAGTCGGGTGACATCCTCCCTGCGTTCGGAAAGGGAGAAAATTCTTGTTAGTTCCAATTTGTGTCACGTTGAGGAAGGCTCCGCAGCCTCCCTCGCCCCTCCCCGACAACCAGTCAGTCAGTCAGTTCAGTAGTATAGAGCCCAGCTCAGCGAAGCAAAATCGATTTCCCTTCCCACCCACACCGACCGTAGACCGTTCGTTTGGGCTTTTCTTCCAGTTTATCACCCGAGAAAAACGGAGGCCAAAAGGAGGCTGTAGCTATATAGCTGAGCGGATATCTCCAGGGCACACCTTATTTTTGCTTCTCCCCATCATACAACTTCTTTTGTAAAGCGAGGGAGGTTTGGGAATTCGTCGAGGCACTGAGAGAAAGCGATCAGAGAGGGTGGTAAATGGTTGGGAGGGGTAGCAAAAACCTATTTAGTAGTGTGTACTACTACCACCTCAACGACCAGTTTCTGTGTATATGAGTACGCTCTCAGCTGGTTTGGTTTTTGCTTCCTTCCCATCTCACGATTCCGCTGTGCTGCTCTACAACAACGCGGGATGCTGGTTCTGGTTTTTTCCATCTGTATGACTCTTTTTTCACATATTCATTCAGCAGCACCAGCGTAGCGCTTTGTGATGTATATGAGCCCATTTTTCTGCGTCGAGCACAACAACAGTAATAGTGACGAAGTACACACATCCCATCAGCAATCGTCCTGTCATTCAACTTGAACGGGCAGTGATGCTAGTTTTTTTTTTGGGGACGAAATATTTTCATTTTTTGCAAATTATGTTTAAAGTATCGTAATATTGTTAGGGCTCTGTTTAAATATTTCAGGATGATGGTATCTGAATCTGGTTCAAAAACTGACAATTTGATTTTATATGAAAACTTTTTAGAAAAATTACGAAGTTTGGTGCTTTGCTATTCAGGCTGTTAGTATGACAACTTTAGTTAGCAACCAGGTTTCGCACCGGTCGTTGCTATCACGATTGTTAATTTATGTTTTAAAATTTCGCACCGGTAGTTGCTAAATCTATCGTCGAACTTCAAGCTAAAACTGATCGCAGAGCTTCGTGATTATCGTGATTATAAGATCCAGAACATCCGTAAAAGTGGTCACTTGGTAAAAATTATTCTAGACCTCCGAGATTTTTTTTAAATCACTTGTTGTGAAGCTAAAGTCTGTTCCTTTTTGAATTTGACCGCTCAAAATTGGTCATTTCTCCAAGGGGAAATAACGTACAAAAACGCTAAAGGTATCATTTTGTAGGATTTTTGTTTAGCTTAAATACAACATAAATTACTCGTCAGCTTTTCGGATGAATTTTCGAACTTTTCGCGGAATACCTCTCATCATGTCTTGTACAGTAGTACCATAGAAGTAACTCTAAGACAAGAAGGTCCCGAAGAAACGTGATCAACTTTTTGGCTCAGCTCTGGTACTCTCTTCGGTCCCAAGCTAATCGATTCACCCCTCGAAACATAGGAAAATCCACGAACCCCTCATTTTATCTGTCAAACTTTCATAGCGAATCAAAACAAACATAGTGTAGTACTAGAATTTCGACTAGAATGGAATACGTTAATAGATTTGCTTGGGACCAATAGGCTAGTCAAGTAGTGAGCCAATTTTAAATCGTTAGTTTCCAACTAGTACTCTCAACCTCATCTACCATCCTTTTCCACCACTTTTCCAAATCAGATGGTGTTTTGATTGTTTTGCCACATTTCTTCAATTTGCGCTTGATAATTGCCCAACATTTTTCAAAGGGACGAAAATCTGGACAATTTGATGGATTGATCTTTTTTCAATAAAATCGATATTAGTCTGCTTATACCATTCTATGACATCGCGGCTGTAATGGCAGCTGGCCAGATCTTTACGGGACCTTCGTGTGATTGAATGGACGGCAAAATTGTGTTCTCCTTGTAAAGCATTCATAGTAGCTCCAGTGATAAAAACCTTTGTTTTCTTTTCGCAACTGCAGATGCCCTGCCAAATCATCAACTTGCAAGCGAATTTATCTGCAAAGACAAATTTGAATTTATCCGGAGCATCCCTCTTTCGTTTAGCAAAGTAAAGTTTTTGATCCAGGATTTGGCCAAAGTCCATTTTTACGTAAGTTTCATCGTCCATCAAAATACATCCGTTATACTTGGTCAGAGCTTGCTCGTACAGCTTCCTTGCACGGTTTTTGGCAACCAGGTTTTGTTTCAGCGCCCTGTTGGGATGTTTGCTGGCATGGTACGACCGGAAACCTTCTCGCATACATATTCGCCGAACTGTACTGTGTGCCCCACTGAACCTTTTCGCCAAATCACGACCGGAGATCCCAGCATTCTTTTGGACTGCCTTTATGACCTTCGCTCGTAGTTTTCGGTTCAACGTTAGTGTTCCCCGGTAACGTTTAAGCACGGTATTTACAGTCGATTTTCGGAAATTTGAGACTTTGCAATAATTCCTCCTGACCACGTTGGATTTTGCACGTGAATGTGCAGATTTTTTTCACGTCTGACATGCTCCATCTTCGATAACTTTTGAACAAGTATATGAATCTTGATGAAATTTTCACTACTAAATGAACAATTCATCCGGATCAATACGCTGTCAATAGTTTTTTGCTTCGACATCTACAGGCGCTGCAGTAATTAAAAAGAAGCGGCCAAATACTAACTGGAACAGACTTTATATGAATGAATTTGGATTTGAGACCAGCATGTGCACTCTGATGGCCACGGAACGGTCGTCCGAAAGATCTGGAATATCCTTAAAAGTGGTCAATTCGTTAAAAAGATTCTAGAGCTCCACTGTTTTTCTTTTAATGCACTCGTTGTGATGCTGCAGTTTGGATCTAGAACTAGCATGCGCATTTTGCTGGCCTCCGGAATATTAAGAATATCCCATTCGTTGAACTTATCGAAACTCATTGTCGATCCGTTTTCACCATAATGGATTGTGCGTCACCTATCGATGAGATTGTTGTTCTGGGCGACTTTAATCTTTCTGGTGTTTCGTGGAAACCTTCCCACAGTGGCTTTCTCTTTCCGGACCCCGCATGTTCTGCTTTCCATTCTGGATCAGTTAGCCTTCTCGACAGCTATAGCCTAGCGACGTTATCTCAAATCAATTCCGTGGTTAACGAGAAAAATCGTAGCTTAGACCTTTGTTTCGTAAGCGCTCAGGATACGGCTCCTTCTCCACTCGTAAAGGAAGTTCCTCATCATCCTCCTGTGATTATTACTGATGACGACAATCACATTCGGGATTTCGAAGACATGTCCACTACGGTGTCTTACAATTTCCGGAAAGTCGATCATCGTAGCATTACCGATGTGCTGTCAAGCACTCATTGGCAAAACACACTCGATTCTGATAACGTCCAAACCACTGCTTAAACTTGTCTTTTTTTCACATGTCTTGGCTTATGTCATTGACAGACTAGAGCGTTCACCAGATTGCGTCGCACCTCCCGAACGAATTGAAGAAGCTGAATTCGATCAAGAGAAAATTCACTAAATATCGCACATGTCGCTGAAACGTCACTACGTTAAGCTCAATTATTATTAGTTCAAGCGAGTCAGCCGTCGATGCTGATTTCCTTTATCTGCGAAGGATTCAAAGGAAATTCAATTGTCGCACCCGAAGTCTTTCTGGAAGAACGTGAAGGAGCAGCGCAGAGAGTTTCGGTCTACCATCATCCATGATATTGAACGGCGAAGTCGCTTCCACTCCACAGGAGGTCTGCCACTTGTTCTCCAACAAGTTTGCAAGTGTCTTCTCTAGCGAGAGCTTATCCAACGAATACGTGACCCTAGCAGCAACAACGTTCCACTCTCTGGTCAAGCTCTGGCCGCACTTAAACTAAAGCCTTCATTCAACCCTGGACCGGATGGTGTTCCTTCAGTCTTTCTGAAGAAGCATATCGCTAACTTACTGTCACCGTTACAATATCTGTTCCGATTGTCTATTTCTTGTGGCATTTTTCCATCAAACTGGAAATTTGCGCATATACACTTAATCTAGCTCGGTAAAATCTCCAACAGCCGATTACCTCGGCATTTATTTTTGCTGATACATCTGCAAAATATCTGTTTGTTAGCTGATATCTCAGCAAAATGATATTTGTTAGCTGAGTCTCGACAATTGTTTTACTGAACCTCAGCAAAATAAATTGCAGAACTACTCGGCTGTTGGAATCTCGGCGAAAAAATTTAAGTGTGTATGTTCCCTGTATAAAAAAGGGTATTCAACGTGAGACGTGGATAATTATTATCGTGGAATTACATCGTTGTGTGCAATTTTGAAGTTATTCGAGTTAGTCATCTTAAAGCCTCTGCTCCCCCATCTGCAGTATCTAATCGAAAATCAACATGGCTTCTCTTCCGGTCCATCTACTGTGTCTGACATAAGTATGGTTGAAAGGTCACAAACAAACGTCATCTACACTGACGTGTCTGCTGCCTTCGATGAGATACATCACGCCAGCGCGATCGTCAAATTGGATAGACTCGGGGTTAGCGGAAATCTCTTGAGATGGTTTCGCTCATGTCTCGCCGATTGTCAGTTGGTGGTAACCTATGGTGACTGCCAGTCCGATTACGTCAGGAATACCATCTGGTATAGTTGATCTTCTTACTTTACTTTAATGACGTGAATTTAGTTATCGAAGATCCATGATTATCGTATGTAGACGATCTCAAAATCTACTCACGGATCTGCTCAATCAGGGTTTGTCAATTTGTTCAACGTCAGTTTGACGCATTTGTCAGTCATTTGAACCGAATGACGGTGAATCCTACGAAGTGTTCAGTGTGGTTCAGTCATCACCTTTACTCGAAAGAAAGAACCAGTTGTTTTCCACTATACTCTCCGGAACATCATTATTGAACGTGTGAGGCATGTAAAAGATCTAGGTGTGATGCTGGACTTTCAACTTACCTACAAGCAGTGTTGGCAAAATCAAAAATCAATTGATATTTTTCCGCTCTCATGCGCTCGCAATATCACGCGTGATATTGGAACAAA